AGAGTAGTGAATAAACATATGTACTGGATTTTATGTGTTGAGAAACATGGTATTTAACCTAATTATCGATTACCCATAAATAGAACTACAGGTAACTCTGAAAATAACAGACCCTTGTTAAGACTAATCGAACAATGCAGGACAAACTATATCACTAAGCTCTAAACTAAAAACCCTAACCTTATTGTAAGTATGTACAATATTGGAAGAAGAAGCTTGTGAGGACCCCGGCTCCAGGGTTCCATATAAACAAAGTTAAAGTGAAGAAGTATATATATATATATAAAAAAAGAAAACTAAAATGAAATAAATGTTATATTGTAAAATTAAGTAAGTGTACATTAACATTAACACATGTATGAGATGTGATGTATGGAAGGAAAACAATATAGTTAACCTAATGATAGATATACCAGTAAGATGAATTACAGGTAATCCTAAAATAACAAAGACCCATGTTAAGCCTAATCGAACAGTATAGGACAAAGGATACAAATAAGCCTAATTTCGAACCTCAACTTGACTATAAGTATTTTTGACCAATCTAACGAAACTTAAGTTATGGAACCAAAATAACTACAGATAATAATATTAAAAATAAAAGTATTCCAAAAACATAAAGTATAAGTTCTTATATAATCTTTCCAAAATCAGTGGATTGTATTTCAAAATGCAGTGGGCCCCCAAACTCGAGTCAAGGCCCGATGATGGTCAGCTCACTGTCACTGGACAATAAATCTCCTGACAAAGAAAAAACAATAGATCTCCAGTTGAGTACCACTACTTGAAGCCTGTGTAAATGTGCTGATAGAACATAGAACCTCCAAAGTGGTAACTTAAAATTTATAATTCAAAATCAATAACCAAATACAACCGTGTTGGCAGAAATAAATAAACAGTTTTTGTAATGAAGTAATAAGTTCTGAAATGAGGTTGAAATATAAAATAATTCCTCTTTGGAATATCTCAGCAAGTTACACATATCACTATTGTATAATAAATAGAAAACTTGTGTGAAATTGATACAAAGACAGAAAAAAATACAACTTGAAGAGAACACAAACTAAACATCACGACACGAGCACTACCAAACCAGAAGTTATAGTTCAGCAGAAGTGAAAAGAGGGAGTCTCATGCATCAGGAGATTGTGTCACACTGCTATTGGTGGAAGTGTTGTCGTTTGATGATTTACATGCGAAACGCAGTTGAACCATTTGATTGTAAGGTACGTGGGAGCTCAAGGCTTGTGGCATACGAAAAACAATTTTTGCATATAGAGGGCAGCATCAAACGAAAATAGCTATTTTTGTGACAGGAAGTAATGTACCATATCGGAAACAAAACTCTTCACATCTGTATTTAACAATTTTATTTTATGGAGAACACATATTAATTTGAAAGAATTGTGAAAATAAACTTAATGAAAAAATGTACAACCATCAACAAATTAAGGTCTTTAATCTCTTGTCTCTAAGCAGATACTTTAAGGTAATATCCTCGTTAGGCATAAGCATTTATTCCAAACACTATTCAGTTAAGAATATTAACTAAACCTTTCACTCCTGTAATAAATAACTTAGTAAAACAACAATATTCTATAAAAAAAAACATTATTTGTTTTAAT